ACTTCGTGAGGATCACAATTTGATGTCACTGGACCTGTTATTTGGCTTGAATGCGTATAAATGGCACCACTAGTATCAGAACTAATAGTGCCGTGAAACGAGGAGTACGTTGAGCGGATTCGCCTTTAGCTCATCGTGCTTAGATCCAATCAACCCGTACCAATGGTTCGTCTTTAATGAATTTCTATTTTCAAAAAGGATATCCACCAATTTCATATAATTCGTGAGGTAACCCTGGTCAAGTGAGCCCAAGCCTCGAGCCTATGATAACATTCCCTACTCCAGTTCTCCTCCAGACTAGAATGCAGTTTCCATCTTGCTCCATCATTTCATCAGCGCCCTTGAAGGGAGTCAAACCGTCGACAGATAGCAAGCCTCAAAACTCTTGCGTCGTCGAGGAAGTAATGGATTGGGCACTTTCGATGACCAACGAAAGTTAAAGTGAGCTTTACCAAACGCCATCTAAACCGAGATTAATGCGGCATTTTGCCTCATAAGGGATCAGTGGGGCGGAATATTTGTCCAGAAACAAAAGTAAGCATCATCTTCTAACAGTCCTCGTAATATCCTCTCGCTCTCTCATGAACACACACAAGACAAACATAATCGCTGCATGACTCTGAAGACGATCTAGAGACAAATTGCGAAAAATTCCCAAAATGGTATGAGTAGACATCCTAATTCTATTGTACTTCATTTACCCTTGCGCATCAAAGGCTTTTTTCCTCCAGCCAGAGTTCTATTTTTGTCATGATCATCATCAGTTTCTAACTTGTCTGTATCTCATGAACATCCCTCACGTTATTTGAAACCGCATCTTGGGAACCGTGGTGAAAGTGTACCACTTCGCCACAGATACCAATGGCTGATAGGGTGAACTTCAAGCCAAGCCAGGTTTCTCCTAACTCACACTTTATGGTGGAATTGACTATAGAATCAACTTGTATTTGCAATGAGTTTTGTGCCGTAGCCAGAGCACTATATGCGGCTGTAGCATGGCTTGTAAAAAGCTGACTTTTACACACACTGACCTCATCAAAATGGAATTCTACTTTCATAAGAATGACCATCAAAACCTACAAAATATGCCGTTAGATAAAACGAACAAAATGGGTTTTTTGTTTGACACAGTTTCATTTTGCTGAATAGCAAAAGTTGGAACTCGATTAAGCCACTTGAATAAGACACGCAGTCCTACGTCCTCTGCTCTCGAGAATTCAAGACGATTTTCAGCATCGCATCGTCGACTTGGCACATTCCAAGATGCTTCGTCAGCATTGTCAATGAGCGGAGATGTCGCTAGCACAGACCTACAGCTTGTCCAAGAGACAAGTGACGCAAAATTGCCTTGTCCAATTTTATGTTAAACCGCTCTGGCATCACTACATGCCCATAATTAAATAAAATTTAATATTTTCAAGGACACATTTTTTTACAGCATAGTTTGGTCTTAGATAATCTGCATCATAGATTGGCATTTACCCTCGGGTTTTATTCCCTAAATACATTTATTCAGTAGTGTATTTTCCCTGATACTAAAATAGGCATAAAAAACATAAAGTTTTATTATATGCGCCAAACAAGTATAGAATTAGGTAATAAAACAGGAACTACTCACGCAGAATCCGTCAGCCAGACGTCGTTCACCGATAGACATGCCATCTCTGAACTCTGAAGCGTTTCTGAACTCAGCTGGCAGATGAGTTGCCCGTTTGCTGAAGGTCAACTTCTGCCTCATCCTGTGTTCATCTTCCTCATCCAGCCAGACACTGGAGGTTTGCGAAGTCGGAAAGGCTTCACTCGATTCCAGATCACTCACCACCTCATCCAATTCCCCCGGCACTCCGAATGCCCCAGCTGACTCTTCTCCCTCGACATCCACTTGCTCCTCCACCTC